CTACAGTATGGTGCTTGCAATTGACTCGGTAGAGAAAGCAAGTGGGTGTCGTTCGTTGACAGTGAGGTGTCACTTGTGGTACAGTTTTGCAAGTGCGCCGATTTGCTCCTTATCTCGGATTTAGTTGCTAGCAATGTCCACTATTGAACGGGAGGGAGCAAGTGCTATCATGAAAGCGATCCACACAAACAACAAAACGCGACAAAACAAGACAAAGTTGCGAAGCGATGACCACTTGTTTACAGTTAGACTCAGTTCTCGCCAATCACTACGTCGACGACAAACTTTGGACTCGGGCAGCATCGAGAGTTGCATGAAGCTCATGCCAGCATCGCTTGAAAAGGGTATCCAAGCGACGAGGAAAGAAGGGTTGTCACCCGGACTTTGGTCACGGTACGTAGCCGGGACGGGGCGATAGACACAGATCGTTGCAGACGAAGACCAAACTAAGCCTGCAAGTCGCGCAAGTGTCTGTTCGCGTTCTTGTTCGAATCGGAGTTCCCCTCGGGGACAGACTCCTTCTTCTTCTTGTCATCCTTCTTGCCACCCTTTTTGGCGCAGTTGTCGTTGCAGCACTTGTAATAGGCGACGATTGTGGGGAACTTGTGGCAGTCCGAGGTGAGCTTATCGACAAGGTCGTGGCCGACGCCAACGCACTTGGGCTGACCAGCGCATTCCTGGTCTACAGCCGAAACGAGGTCAAAGCTGGAGACGACGGCAGCGCTGACGAGGAAGAAGATGGCCTTGACGTGCATGCTTGCAAGAGTTTGCGGATCGATATACTGCGTTGTGGTGTACGAGGCAATTTGAAGAATGACACGTCGGACGGCAACGCTCAAGAATCGGGTGCGTTGTACGGATAGTTGAGATACAGCGAAGGAGGATGAGGTGGGACATACCGACCATGTGACGGGCATGAGACGAAGGGGAAAGTATCCCGACTGTGCGGATTAGCAACGTACCGCGAATAATTCGAGTGAGTGAGTGTCGATCCGAGCGAGCGTTGGTCTCTGGCGATCACGACGCTATCACCTACGATGCTGTCGCCCCGATCGAACGTCTTCACGTTCTAGCAATCCCTACGCGAAAGTATCGATGACCGCATGTCGCATACGGCACTGTCACCGCGATCGGCCATCGGGGGGATCGTTGGTGCTACATTTCGCGCGTTTGAGAAACTACCGTACCTCAGACTCGCGCATGTGTCAAAGCAGAGCGACGACACGATAGCGGACGTTCAAACTTCAGTGCAACAACACAATAGAGGAGGGAAGCATCGCCAGATGGACGCATGTCAACAGCATACAAACGTGCTCAGGTCGCTTGGTCGGGCGGCGTTGCTTGCGTGGATGTGAGCCAACCCTCGCGATTGATGTCTCCGACTCCTTTTGCTCAGCATTCGGTCCCGATTTCCAGTGCTGGGTCGCACGTCAACGCAAAAACGACGTCTGAAGACAAAAGAAGTCAGTCTCGCACCGCTCAGCATAGAATCATCGCCCTCGCGCGGATGCAGCTTGACTACAGTATGGTGCTTGCAATTGACTCGGTAGAGAAAGCAAGTGGGTGTCGTTCGTTGACAGTGAGGCGTCACTTGTGGTACAGTTTTGCAAGTGCGCCGATTTGCTCCTTATCTCGGATTTAGTTGCTAGCAATGTCCACTATTGAACGGGAGGGAGCAAGTGCTATCATGAAAGCGATCCACACAAACAACAAAACGCGACAAAACAAGACAAAGTTGCGAAGCGATGACCACTTGTTTACAGTTAGACTCAGTTCTCGCCAATCACTACGTCGACGACAAACTTTGGACTCGGGCAGCATCGAGAGTTGCATGAAGCTCATGCCAGCATCGCTTGAAAAGGGTATCCAAGCGACGAGGAAAGAAGGGTTGTCACCCGGACTTTGGTCACGGTACGTAGCCGGGACGGGGCGATAGACACAGATCGTTGCAGACGAAGACCAAACTAAGCCTGCAAGTCGCGCAAGTGTCTGTTCGCGTTCTTGTTCGAATCGGAGTTCCCCTCGGGGACAGACTCCTTCTTCTTCTTGTCATCCTTCTTGCCACCCTTTTTGGCGCAGTTGTCGTTGCAGCACTTGTAATAGGCGACGATTGTGGGGAACTTGTGGCAGTCCGAGGTGAGCTTATCGACAAGGTCGTGGCCGACGCCAACGCACTTGGGCTGACCAGCGCATTCCTGGTCTACAGCCGAAACGAGGGCAAAGCTGGAGACGACGGCAGCGCTGACGAGGAAGAAGATGGCCTTGACGTGCATGCTTGCAAGAGTTTGCGGATCGATATACTGCGTTGTGGTGTACGAGGCAATTTGAAGAATGACACGTCGGACGGCAACGCTCAAGAATCGGGTGCGTTGTACGGATAGTTGAGATACAGCGAAGGAGGATGAGGTGGGACATACCGACCATGTGACGGGCATGAGACGAAGGGGAAAGTATCCCGACTGTGCGGATTAGCAACGTACCGCGAATAATTCGAGTGAGTGAGTGTCGATCCGAGCGAGCGTTGGTCTCTGGCGATCACGACGCTATCACCTACGATGCTGTCGCCCCGATCGAACGTCTTCACGTTCTAGCAATCCCTACGCGAAAGTATCGATGACCGCATGTCGCATACGGCACTGTCACCGCGATCGGCCATCGGGGGGATCGTTGGTGCTACATTTCGCGCGTTTGAGAAACTACCGTACCTCAGACTCGCGCATGTGTCAAAGCAGAGCGACGACACGATAGCGGACGTTCAAACTTCAGTGCAACAACACAATAGAGGAGGGAAGCATCGCCAGATGGACGCATGTCAACAGCATACAAACGTGCTCAGGTCGCTTGGTCGGGCGGCGTTGCTTGCGTGGATGTGAGCCAACCCTCGCGATTGATGTCTCCGACTCCTTTTGCTCAGCATTCGGTCCCGATTTCCAGTGCTGGGTCGCACGTCAACGCAAAAACGACGTCTGAAGACAAAAGAAGTCAGTCTCGCACCGCTCAGCATAGAATCATCGCCCTCGCGCGGATGCAGCTTGACTACAGTATGGTGCTTGCAATTGACTCGGTAGAGAAAGCAAGTGGGTGTCGTTCGTTGACAGTGAGGTGTCACTTGTGGTACAGTTTTGCAAGTGCGCCGATTTGCTCCTTATCTCGGATTTAGTTGCTAGCAATGTCCACTATTGAACGGGAGGGAGCAAGTGCTATCATGAAAGCGATCCACACAAACAACAAAACGCGACAAAACAAGACAAAGTTGCGAAGCGATGACCACTTGTTTACAGTTAGACTCAGTTCTCGCCAATCACTACGTCGACGACAAACTTTGGACTCGGGCAGCATCGAGAGTTGCATGAAGCTCATGCCAGCATCGCTTGAAAAGGGTATCCAAGCGACGAGGAAAGAAGGGTTGTCACCCGGACTTTGGTCACGGTACGTAGCCGGGACGGGGCGATAGACACAGATCGTTGCAGACGAAGACCAAACTAAGCCTGCAAGTCGCGCAAGTGTCTGTTCGCGTTCTTGTTCGAATCGGAGTTCCCCTCGGGGACAGACTCCTTCTTCTTCTTGTCATCCTTCTTGCCACCCTTTTTGGCGCAGTTGTCGTTGCAGCACTTGTAATAGGCGACGATTGTGGGGAACTTGTGGCAGTCCGAGGTGAGCTTATCGACAAGGTCGTGGCCGACGCCAACGCACTTGGGCTGACCAGCGCATTCCTGGTCTACAGCCGAAACGAGGGCAAAGCTGGAGACGACGGCAGCGCTGACGAGGAAGAAGATGGCCTTGACGTGCATGCTTGCAAGAGTTTGCGGATCGATATACTGCGTTGTGGTGTACGAGGCAATTTGAAGAATGACACGTCGGACGGCAACGCTCAAGAATCGGGTGCGTTGTACGGATAGTTGAGATACAGCGAAGGAGGATGAGGTGGGACATACCGACCATGTGACGGGCATGAGACGAAGGGGAAAGTATCCCGACTGTGCGGATTAGCAACGTACCGCGAATAATTCGAGTGAGTGAGTGTCGATCCGAGCGAGCGTTGGTCTCTGGCGATCACGACGCTATCACCTACGATGCTGTCGCCCCGATCGAACGTCTTCACGTTCTAGCAATCCCTACGCGAAAGTATCGATGACCGCATGTCGCATACGGCACTGTCGCCGCGATCGGCCATCGGAGGGATCGTTGGTGCTACATTTCGCGCGTTTGAGAAACTACCGTACCTCAGACTCGCGCATGTGTCAAAGCAGAGCGACGACACGATAGCGGACGTTCGAACTTCAGTGCAACAACACAATAGAGGAGGGAAGCATCGCCAGATGGACGCATGTCAACAGCATACAAACGTGCTCAGGTCGCTTGGTCGGGCGGCGTTGCTTGCGTGGATGTGAGCCAACCCTCGCGATTGATGTCTCCGACTCCTTTTGCTCAGCAGTTGGTCCCGATTTCCAGTGCTGGGTCGCACGTCAACGCAAAAACGACGTCTGAAGACAAAAGAAGTCAGTCTTGCACCGCTCAGCATAGAATCATCGCCCTCGCGCGGATGCAGCTTGACTACAGTATGGTGCTTGCAATTGACTCGGTAGAGAAAGCAAGTGGGTGTCGTTCGTTGACAGTGAGGTGTCACTTGTGGTACAGTTTTGCAAGTGCGCCGATTTGCTCCTTATCTCGGATTTAGTTGCTAGCAATGTCCACTATTGAACGGGAGGGAGCAAGTGCTATCATGAAAGCGATCCACACAAACAACAAAACGCGACAAAACAAGACAAAGTTGCGAAGCGATGACCACTTGTTTACAGTTAGACTCAGTTCTCGCCAATCACTACGTCGACGACAAACTTTGGACTCGGGCAGCATCGAGAGTTGCATGAAGCTCATGCCAGCATCGCTTGAAAAGGGTATCCAAGCGACGAGGAAAGAAGGGTTGTCACCCGGACTTTGGTCACGGTACGTAGCCGGGACGGGGCGATAGACACAGATCGTTGCAGACGAAGACCAAACTAAGCCTGCAAGTCGCGCAAGTGTCTGTTCGCGTTCTTGTTCGAATCGGAGTTCCCCTCGGGGACAGACTCCTTCTTCTTCTTGTCATCCTTCTTGCCACCCTTTTTGGCGCAGTTGTCGTTGCAGCACTTGTAATAGGCGACGATTGTGGGGAACTTGTGGCAGTCCGAGGTGAGCTTATCGACAAGGTCGTGGCCGACGCCAACGCACTTGGGCTGACCAGCGCATTCCTGGTCTACAGCCGAAACGAGGTCAAAGCTGGAGACGACGGCAGCGCTGACGAGGAAGAAGATGGCCTTGACGTGCATGCTTGCAAGAGTTTGCGGATCGATATACTGCGTTGTGGTGTACGAGGCAATTTGAAGAATGACACGTCGGACGGCAACGCTCAAGAATCGGGTGCGTTGTACGGATAGTTGAGATACAGCGAAGGAGGATGAGGTGGGACATACGGACCATGTGACGGGCATGAGACGAAGGGGAAAGTATCCCGACTGTGCGGATTAGCAACGTACCGCGAATAATTCGAGTGAGTGAGTGTCGATCCGAGCGAGCGTTGGTCTCTGGCGATCACGACGCTATCACCTACGATGTTGTCGCCCCGATCGAACGTCTTCACGTTCTAGCAATCCCTACGCGAAAGTATCGATGACCGCATGTCGCATACGGCACTGTCACCGCGATCGGCCATCGGAGGGATCGTTGGTGCTACATTTCGCGCGTTTGAGAAACTACCGTACCTCAGACTCGCGCATGTGTCAAAGCAGAGCGACGACACGATAGCGGACGTTCGAACTTCAGTGCAACAACACAATAGAGGAGGGAAGCATCGCCAGATGGACGCATGTCAACAGCATACAAACGTGCTCAGGTCGCTTGGTCGGGCGGCGTTGCTTGCGTGGATGTGAGCCAACCCTCGCGATTGATGTCTCCGACTCCTTTTGCTCAGCATTGGTCCCGATTTCCAGTGCTGGGTCGCACGTCAACGCAAAAACGACGTCTGAAGACAAAAGAAGTCAGTCTCGCACCGCTCAGCATAGAATCATCGCCCTCGCGCGGATGCAGCTTGACTACAGTATGGTGCTTGCAATTGACTCGGTAGAGAAAGCAAGTGGGTGTCGTTCGTTGACAGTGAGGTGTCACTTGTGGTACAGTTTTGCAAGTGCGCCGATTTGCTCCTTATCTCGGATTTAGTTGCTAAGCAATGTCCACTATTGAACGGGGAGGGCAAGTGCTATCATGAAAGCGATCC